CTTAAAGGCCTTTCAGAAAGAATGGGTAAAACTAAGTCTTCAGGAAATAAGGTAATTTCTTATTAAGGACAGGCATCTCGTCTCTTTTTCTTTGAGACAGGGTCTCACTGTATACCTGGCTGACCTAGAACTTGATACATAAAACTCACAGAGACGAACCTACCTGCATGCTGGGTTTAAATCTGTGGGCTACCCAGCCGCGGCATTTTTACTATAATGAGTGATTCCTAAGAATAGGATGGCATAAGTATATATCTTTAAGCCCAAGCCTTTCACGTTCTTTTCTAACAATTTTAATATTCAAAATGTCTTATGTAATCAATTCCAAAACTATAAATTCCTGCAGATTATTTTTTTACTAAAATTACCAAAACCTCCAGAACTTCAAACATGCTGTCTTTGTTTTCTACCGCTATGAAACACCAAACTTTCAGAAGACAGTTCTTAGTGGTGGGCTTGCTTACAGTTTCAGAGGATGAGCCTATGACCACCATTGCAGGGAGTCTGGCAATCAGGCATGGTAACTGAGAGCTTACTAGAGGTAGAAGGCAGCAGAGGGAGACTGGTCTGGTATGGGCTTTTAAACCCTCAAAGTCTACTGCTAGTGACACACATCCTCCAACAAGATCACACCTCCAACCCTTCCTAAAGAGTCTGCAAACAGGGACTGCACTTTTATTTCCCAGCTGCCTAGACCCCAATAATCACAGAAATTACATTCATTACAACACTGTTTGGCTCAGGCATATTTCTAGCTAGCTCTTAGAATTCAAATTAACCCATTTCTATTACTCTATGTATTGCCACGAGGCTTGTGGCTTACTAGTAATATTCTTGCATCTTTCTCCTTCAGCAACTACATGGTATCTCTGACTCTGCCTACTCTTACTCTCTCTCTCTCTCTCTAAGCTATTGGCCAAACAGCTTTACTCATTAGCCAAAGAGCAACACATACACAGAAGGACATCCCACATCAATAGTCCACCAACTGGGAACCAAACATTCAAGAATATGATCCTATGGGAGCCATTACCAGTCAACTTATGCATTAACAGGTAACTGAAATAGAAACTTAATAAAAAGAAATCTTCTGGTGGTGAGTGAGGAAACAAGTCTTGTGTAGTCCAAACTGGTTTCAAAATCTAGCCAATGATGACCCTGAACTCCTGCCTCTACTTTCCTGAGTGCTGGGATTAGAGGGAAAAAAGCACACAATATGTGCAGTGCTTGTACCTGGGCCTCAAGCATGCTAGGTGAGCACTCTAGAAACTAAGCTACAACCCTGGCCCCAAGAAAGCTTTTGTTACACTAAAAAACATAAACAATAGGGGCTGAAAAGATGCCCAGTGGCTAAGAACACTGGCTCTTCTACCAGAGGCTCAGGTTTGCTTTCAGTCCCCACATGACTATTGTCCCAGGGACCCAAGGCCCTCTTCTGGCTTCCACAGGAACAAACACAGATGTAGTGCAGACACACACACACACACACACACACACACACACACGTGCCTGCATGCACAGGCAGAACATCCATGCACATAAATTTCTTTTGGCTTTTCGAAACAGGGTTTCTCTGCATAGCCCTATTCTGAAACTCAGTCTGTAGACAAGGCTGGCCTCAAACTCAGAGATCCACCTGCCTCTGCTCCCAAGTACTGGGATTAAAGGTGTGTGCTATCACCACGAGGCTATAATTTTCTTAAAGTATACAATAATATATAAATGGCTTAGAATTGAAAATTACCCATAACTTTATTCACCTAGTAAAAATAGTGAATGTCAAAGTTCAAGTGTTACATGTAAAATAAACACATTTCTTTCCACTCGAGATCTGCACAATGGAATATTATTCCACAATAAAAATGCAATGAACAACTAATAAGAGGAGAGAGGGAAAAAATAGAATACTAAAAACATTAAGAGGGTCTCATAATTAGGGTTACTATTGCTATGATGAAACACCATGACCAAAAACTAGTTGGGGAGGAAAGGATTTATTTATACTTCCACATCATAATATAGCTCATCAATGAAGGAAATTAGGATAAGAACTCAAACAGGGCAGGAACCCGGAGGCAGGTGCTGATGCAGGGGCCATGGAGGGGAGCTGCTTACTGATTTGCTCTTCATTGCTTGCTCAGTCTACTTTCTCACAGAGCCCAGGACCACCAGTGCAGGAAAGGCAGCACCCACAATGGGCAGGGCCCTCTACCTCAATCCCTAATTAAGAAAATGCCCTACAGGCTTGCCTGCAGCCCAATCCAATGAATGCATTTTCTCAGTAAAGGCCCCCATCTCTAAAACGATTCTAGCCTTTGTCAGGTTAACATAAAATAAGCCAACACAGATAGGTTACCTTTTTAAAGCAGTAATTAGAAATTACATGAAATTTTAAAACAGGCAAATGTTATGAAGCTGTGTTTGTTTGAGAGGCCAGGCTGACCTCTAAGTTGTGATGTTCTCAACTTACCCTCCCAATTGCTGGAGCTAAGGGCAAAGTCGTCATTCTTGGCTATGCAGGATTTTAAACAGTTAACACTGGTTAAGTGAGGTGTGAAGAAACTGGTTAGGAAAGAGTAAGAAGGAACTAGAAAGTGCTAATATTCTGAATCTTTGTTTTTTTACCAAGATGGGAGACTGAACCCAGGACTTCCTGAATGCTAGCAAAATAACTGATTGTAGACTCCTCATGGGAGGTAGGCATATGAATATTTACTAAAAAATTCTTTCAGTGTTTTGGTATGTCTGAATAGTTGGTTAATAAAATGTTTGGAGTTAGAAATTGCTAACAAGTAAACTCAAACACAAAGACCTACTAACAAAATATAGTTCTCATGATGCATTCACTTTAGCTTTCATGTGGAGTCAGAGATGTCTGATACCTAGCTCATTTGACAGAGTGCTTGCCTAGCATGGGTTTGGTCCTGTGCATTGCCTAAATGAAGCATGGTGGCACACCTATAACCCCAGCACTTGGATGGTATAGAAAAAATTTTCAGATCATCTATAGGTAAACAGAGAGTTCAAAGCCAACCTACGGTACATCAAACTGTCTCAAAAGCAAAAAATAAATATTAAAATAAGCAAATTGAGCTGATGAGTGACATTTTTATTTCATTTACTCATTTATTTTTCATTATTTACAAAGCAATTAAAAATAATTTAATTTCAAATTATACCTACTAACTTAATCAATTCAAAAAACTATATACATTAATCATCCTGGTGGGGACACAAGTACTTAATACATTATTTAAAAGAACTAGATAAAAGTACATGTTTAGACAAAGAAAACAGAGATAGTATCTCAAAAATGTATACAAAAATTCAGCTCGATTCTGTTCATTTTAATTAGATTTCCTAAATTACAAACTTACTCCTGTACTTATAAACTATGTACTTCATTTACTTCTTAAGTATTTACAACCAAATATTTTATTTTGAGAATTTGTGGGCCTTAAGATTTTTCTAATGTATGATATCTAGATGCAGTATATTTGGTATCTATTACAGTCCTCTAGACAATTTTTTATTTCAAGTTTGCTTCATCAAAAACTTTCACCTCTACTATACCACACTCTGACTTATGGCACCAAAAAGAATATACAATCAGTATAGCTTCCTTATTCTTAAAAAGCATGTATTAACAAAAAATTCACTTAGTCGCCCTCACCAAGAGTACACTTCAGTAAACACGTTCACAGTACTGAGAGTTAAATGCCCACCCTGATGACAGCACACCAGCAGGAGGCACACGCTGTGACATGTGAGAGCAAACATAACCAGAGAGCAATGTAAAAACGAAATTACACAAGTTGTCGCCTCACTATACAAAAGGGGATTCATTTTGAATATTTTATGAGATTATAAACAAAAAAGCTTAGCCGGGAGGTGGTGGCACACCAGAGGCAATCAGATCTCTGTGAATTCGAGGCCAGCCTGGTCTACAGAGCAAGGGCTATGACATCCAGTGCTACACAGAAAAAACCCTGTCTCAAAATAAGAAGGGGGAAAAAAGTTTAACTTTTCTCAGAATACTATTACATGCCACATCCACTTCAGAATGTTTTATAATATATTTATGTTCATATAGATAAGCTAGGGAGGGAGCAAAAGCTACCCATTATTCAAATTACTAAGAGATCAAATGAAAGCCGGGCAGAGGTGGCACATGCCTTTAATCCCAGTACTCAAGAGACGGAGGCAGGTGGATCTCTGTGAGTTCGAGGCCAGCCTGGTCTACAAAAGCTAGTTCCAGGACAGGCACCAAAACTACAGAGAAACCCTGTCTCGAAAAACCAAAGAGAGAGAGAGAGACAGAGAGAGAGAAAGAGAGAGAGAGAGAGAGAGAGAGAGAGAGAGAGAGAGAGAGAGAGATATCAAATGAAAGCCAGGCATGGTGGCGCACACCTTCAGTCTCAGGACTTGGAGGCAGAGGCAGGCGGAATTTGAGGACAGTCAAGACAATAATAGAGAGAAACCCTGCTTGTAAAACAAAAACAAAAACAAAACAAAACAAAACCAGAGAACAAGGGAGAGCAAATGAAAAAATCATTTACCACAGTTAAAGTCTCTCTACAGAATCACACCTAAAACAAGAACCAAATAAACCCCCTCAGTATTGCCAGCAGCATCCAAGTCCGGCAGCTTCCTCACTGTTAGAAGTTTCTCACAGTACTGGCTGAGTAAAACCTGTCTTCAGCAAAGTGCGTTCACAGGTCACAGGTCCTCAAGTTCAAAGTCTCAGTACCACAAAGAAAGGTGGGAGATTCAGCTCAAAATCCCCATGCCACAGGCTCAAGAAGGTTCTCTGGCCAATGACTAATCCTTCGCTCTGCTTGGGAATTCTCACAGACCAAGCTTAACCTCACTTTGAAAACACGGTTGCATAGGGGAAGAAATTAGGAGAATGGGACAGGATTATGTGTTTTATAACGTTTACAATTAAAACAACACTGACTCATAAAAACACTGCAGTAAGTTTACTCTGGTGAATGGAATTCTGAACTTAAAATACAAAAAAAAGTTTATTGTTCTTTACAGCCCTTAACTGCTAACAAATTGGGTCACTTGACACAAAGAAACAGCAAATTTGAACAATGCCAGAGAAAAACGTGATTACAATACTATTTTATGTACAACAAAGGAATTTTCAAAGACATCTATTTTTTTTATTTCCACACTGATTATAGAACTAAACCATTAAAAAAGATGTACTTTCTTTAAACACTGAATTACTTTCTAGAAACATTTCACAGAATTAGTTTCCCACAAAGACACTTGTAAATGGGATTGCTGTACAAAATCAATACTCAGACTGGATGTTCACCACACCCCATGGCAGCACACTGAAATGAGAATCATACTCCATATAACTTACTTTTAATAATTTCAGAAAGGTTTCTACTATGCGCACATTTACTAAAATTGTATTACAAAACATACTACCTCAAATTAGAAGATTCACTACATTTCAAATGAAAACCAGCACAGATTAAAAAGGCGAACCGCCAGAGAATACACATGACCTTGAACACGGAGCCTAGTGCCCCAAGAGTTCACTTACACACTCATTTCTAGACCGTTACTTGTATGGCTACATTTGATAGTGTTCTTCCCAACTCACATCCCTAATCATGTCATCTCTCTAATCAAAACGCCTTCAATCTGACTCCTTAAAAACAGCATTTTATGGAATCCAGAATTTTGGTAACAACTGACATTTTATCCAAATTACACTCCAGTGGGAAGCGTCATGATTTAAGCACCAAGTTAACTCTCACCCTTTAGCATCAGAATACCCAGAGGACATTATTCACAGAGGGCTGAATCCCACCCTAGTTTCTGATTAGCTGGACGGATTTACACTTCTAAGAAACTAACAGAGGCTAGTTCAGGACTGACACTAGTGTTTGCTGCGGAGCTGTGGATGGACCCGAAGTCTTGATTACATCAGCAGAGCCGTGACTCAGCAGCCACAATCCTCACCTGGGCCTTTTACTGGAGCTGGGAGCTGGCATGCCTAAACTGTTTTAAAAAGCATTTTGAATGACTTGCAAACATTTAAATACTAGAAATTTTCACACGAAATACAGATTCCTGACATATTTCTGCATGTTAAATTTTAACTTGAACCAAATAGAAGCTATCCAATGTAGTCAAGAAAGACGTCCACCAGGCACCCCTTATCCAGCACCCAGAGGTGGATGATCTCTCTGAGACTGAGGCCAACCTGGTCTACCTAGTGTGTTCCAGGTCATTCGAGTTATCAAAAGCCAAAACTTCCTACCTATCCTCACTTAAAACTGCCTGGCTTAGACAGCATTTGTGCTTGGACACTGACCCACTCCATCCCATTCTGTAAGTGTTTTTGCAAGAGCTCATTCTGACATCAAGTACCCTTTATCCCCACTATTTCTGAAACTCTAACCGCTCCATCTCAAAGTCTGGCTTTTTAAAGTCTTTTCTCATCAAAATCCCAGAAAAAAGGACACACATTAAATATTTACCATAAATTCAATATGTAAGATTTATAAAAATCAAGATTTTATTTTCATGAATATACAACAATATTTAAAAACCATACTTACAAAAATCTACAAGTTAAATGCTATGTAAACATGATTTTTGCTATTGTCATTCTAAGTAGTTTTCATTTTGTTTAATTCTAATTTTAATGGAAAGGAAACAGTTTCCGGAAAAACACTGAAATAAGGTCATTTTAATCACATGATCAAATATGTAATATTTTCAATAAAAAGATACAATCTCTTTTCACAGGACAAAAGCTGAGAGGAAGGGCAGGGTAGAGACACAGCTCCCAAGACTTCATGACCCAACAACGTGTAGTAGTGAGTTCTCTTGGTTACCTGGAGACGGGGCCTCAAACACACCAGGAAAATGCTCTACCCTTGAGCTACATCCCCAACCCAAAAGGTGATTCTAATTAAATAAATTCTCCTAATTAATTAAATAAATTCTCGGGTGTTTTTGCTTCTATAGAATAAATAAGGAATAAAAATTACTACCACTATTACTCCCTGCTTCCTCAAAAAAAAACAACCACCAAAAAAAAAAAGAACTACGTATTGATGCTTCCTCTGACATAAGGAGCTGTGCTACCCGAAATAAATTATGGCGTCCTCCCTGACCTCTAACCAGTGTTCTCCAAATATCTCCAGTCTCTAAAGCTAACACCACTCTTTCAAAAGATAAAGACAAAACCAATGTCATGCATTCTCCTTTTCTGTTACCCTTAGAATAGCACACAACTATAATCTCAGTATTCAGAAGGCCGAGGCAAAAGGAGCTTGTACTCCAGGATAGCCTGGGCTACAGAGTGAGATCTCATCTCCAAAGGAAAAGGATATAGCTCAGCGATAAAGGTGTGTGCTTACCATTAGGTACTTATTCCAACACCAACACACACACATTCATTCTCTCTCTCTCTCTCTCTCTCTCTCTCTCTCTCTCTGTGTGTGTGTGTGTGTGTGTGTGTGTGTTTTAACTCTAACTTTCAAAGTTGTAGCTAAAACTGTTGAAGATTCAGAACTTTGAAATACAATTTACGCACTTACACAATTGTGAGCATTCTGTTTTGTTTGACACAGGATTTCATACAGCACAGGCTGACCCTGAAATTGGGACGGCCTTGACCTTCTACCTGCCTCTCCCTCTCCAGTGCTGCGGTCACAGGCTTATGCACCAGATGCAACTCTATCTGTATTATTTCTCTAATAATCAAAATAAAAGATCATAAAGTCAACAGCTAAATGTCTTAGGAAAAATTAGGGAGAATATTGAACTGGATTATGTCAATCAATTAGTAAATTTTAGTATCTAAAGAGAAAATTAAATACTTAGAAAACTGTAGGAAAAAGTAGGGTTAGGGAGGAAAAGAAAACCACGGTAAAAGCTTTTTCCTAAGAGATTAACAACATTTTTATAGGACATGTGCTCAGCTTCATTATATTAATTCTGACAAAATTAAAACTATCAAACTGAAAACTCTTAGAGACTACTACATTCGGGCAGATTATGCCGTAAGCGAAAGGCTTTCAGTTTCTCCACTTCAATCTTTGCTCTGAGCAGCTCCTCCTCTAGCTGCTGCCTTCTTCTCAATCCATCCCTCTTTTCCTGAACATACAATCCGAAATTCTTTTGATTTTCTAAGATTATCTGGTGTTCCTCTTTTAACATTTGCAGGACCTGAGGGTCATATCTTAGCAGAGACCTAATGTGTTCTCCACTCTCACGATGGAAAAGATCATCTCTCCTTGGAACAGAAGATGGAGATGATGTCATTCTCATATCAACAGAGGAAAGTGATGGAGACAAGGGTTCTTCCAGAACATGTACTAATTCATGCTCTTCTCTTTGCTCTAAAGCATCACTGTGTTGAGGATTTGGAAGCAGTGGAGGGGATGATTTAATGTCTTCTTCTTGCTTCACCTCTACCGTAATAGCAACAGGATGGTGATCCACCATCACCTGTAGTGAACTGGTACCAGCCTGCGCAGCCTCATCCAAGCTTGCACTATAGCACATATAAAAAAAGAACAGTACAAACAATAAACATATTTATAGAACAATTTCATATTTATATGCTTAATATTTCATAATAATATACACTTCATTATAAATCTTTGAATAAAGGGTGAAGACATACACCTATATCCCCAGCACTTGAGAGGCTGAGACAGGACAATCTCAAGTTCCAGGACAGCCTAGGCTACACACCACACTCTAATCAAGAAAAAGAGATGGTCCTGGTGGCGCACACCTCTAATCCCAGCACTCAGGAGGCAGAGGTAGTGAATCTAAGTTTCAGGCCAGCCTGGTCTATAGAGTGGGTTCTAGGACAGCCAAGGCTACACAGAGAAAGCCTGTCTCAAAAGAACAAAAACAGAAACAAAACCAACAACAACATGGACCCGGGGAATTTTCTTGTTGGGGGGAGACTTTCCCAAGTCCCGGGTTTGTAGAAGGCATTTCTGTGTTACCGCTTTCTCCAACTGCTTTCCTACTGCTGTCTACTGCCTGTTGCAGCTCAAGAATCCCCTTGCCTTTCAGTTCTTGAATGGGCATTGAAAACGAACCCAATCAAGACCGTAGGCAGGGTAAGTGGTGGAAGTGCAAGGCCGGTCTGGTCTACAGAGCAAGTTCCAGGACAACCAGGACTACACACACACACACACAGACCCCTCGGCTGCTTTACAATTACAGTTGTGAGCAGTCATGTGGGTACTGGGAATTGAACTTTAATCCCCTGGGAAAGCAGCCAGTGCTCCTAACTGGCTCTCTCCATTAACACAGTTTTCTATGTCTCTGTCATGATTGCAGCATGATTTATTTTTTTGGACTCAACAGTCAGGTGAAGCTGTTGTACCCACTACTCCCTCCCTGTGTAGTAATGGTCAAACACAGGACAATACCTACTGGAAGTGGAAGCGAAGGAGGGACCAGAGACAGAAAGACAGGGAGAGGGTCCAGCCTAGGTAATAAAGACACTGAACTTCCATTCACTATGACTGGCTTCTTCCTCGCCCTCTGGATCTGAGAAAGAGACCTGGAAGCTTAAAACACAGGCCTTGTGGGCTTTTCTCCTGCAGACAGGACCTCTGCTGATGAACTAGCTTGACAAATTCAAGGTCAAATCAGGACACGTTTACAGTTGCCCCAATCAGCCAACTTGTGTGTCTTCAAATCCACCAAGGAAGGAAGTCCTTTGAAAGACTTAAGCAAACAAACTAGCCCTCAAGAAGTCGGTTTCTGCTTCCCAAGTCCCAGTCTGCTTTGCCTTTCTCTCTGGGTGACTGCTTGCATGTGTGTGTGTTTCCCCATCCTTAATAAAAGCCTTTCTTCAACTGCTTTAAAAAAAAAAAAAAGATTTAAAACTATACAGAGAGTGTTTACCAGAAGAGACACTAAGACCATGACTTTAACAATGTGTCCATTTAGGTGTCCTCCATCCTTCATCTGTTGTCGGCGGTGCTGGTAACCGAGTCAAGGTCCTGGGCACGCTCTCTTCATCCCTAGCCCTCTGTTCTTAAATTAGGCTCTTACAATGAAATTACAAATACTACACAAAGTCAGTAAAATAAAGAAAAGCTACTTTGTGAATGCACATGTGTCTGTGTGTGTTGTGTACACACGAGTGTGGGTCCTCACAGAGACCCAAGCACTACTATTTTTTTGAGGTAGAGTTTCTCTGAACGTGAAGCTCATCCACTGAGCTAAGGCAGCTGGGAGTACTGCCATTTGTAGCATTTTACAAAAGGTGTCCTGGGGTCTGAATTCAGAGCCTCACATTTGTGTGGCTGGCACCTTATAAAGAGAACACCTTCCAGAATAAAGAAAAGTGGAAGGAAGGAAGGAAGGAAGGAAGGAAGGAAGGAAGGAAGGAAGGAAGGAAGGAAGGAAGGAAGGAGGGAGGGAAGAAGGGAGGGAGCCAGCCAGCCTTTTTTTTTCTTACATTTATTTATTTGTATGTGTATTTGGAGGTCAGGTTCTCTCTTCTCCCCCTCCCCATGGAGGTACTAGGATCAAAGGCAGGCTGTAGGGCTTGGCAGTAAATACTTTACCAACTGAGCCACCTCACTAGCCCGGATCCCTCCGTTGCTGAGGTTCTTAAATTAAGCTGTAAAGAATCACCTGACGTTTTCTCCTGCTTTTGTTCTCCTGGACTATCTACAAACCATAAAAGCCGGTGACTCTGAGGAAGATGGCAGAGACTATTTATGGAACCAAACATAATAGGATTTCATTGCTACTTCATAACTGTAGCTTTGCCACAGTTATGAATCATAATGTAGATATCTGATACGTGACCCCTGAAGGGGTCACAGCCCACAGGTTGAGAACTGCTGATCTAGACTAAAGTATGAGATAAAAAAGGCTGAAACTATAAACAAATTTTACATTATCTTCATAATTTCTACTGCAAAGTAGCATGTAGCCTATAAAAACAGGCATTATACTTCCGTATACATTAAAAATGCTTATGCCTGGATTATTCACTCCATAATGGTGAAACATTATAAGTAATAAAACACTAGCGAAAGTCTCAAGAAAGATAAACAGAACGAAAAATTTCTAAAAGCTAAAAATCTAATTTAGAGGATCAAGTGATTATAAAACATAAATTATAATCTGCTATTTAGAGAGACATAAAAATATCTAAAAATCCTTCTAAGTTGTAAAGTAAGTTACAAAATAGAATAGATTCTTTAGAAAAGAAAAAGACATAACACATGCAGTAAAATCCCATACTAGAGAATGTAATCAAATTAATAGTAATATTTGTGTAAAAATAAAATTGGAATTATAGATTTATAAACTTCTGGGAAAACTAAGATGTGTGATGATCTCAGCTAAATACATATAAGCACATTAAATACATAAGTATATTAAATGAATAAGCTAACAGAAAAATATCAATGTAACATAAGTGGCCTATTTTTATATTCTTCCTTTTTTAAAAAAACTAATAAGCAGTTCAATTTAAACAACAGATAAAGAAATATACAATCAGCTAACTCATTCTTATCAGAGAAATGATGGTGTATCAAAAACTCAGAGGGTATGTTTGCGTTTACAATGATCAAAATGCAAACAGGTAACTGCTTGTATTCTTCTCCATGTTCACTGTGCTTTTTTTAAATAGACAACTAAAAGCACATTGTCTATGTATCCGTTTCAAATTATAAAAATCCAAATTTAGTGCCCAAAAGGTGTAGTTTTCTAACAAAACCATTTTTCTCCAAGCTGGTTTTGAAAGAGTAAAATCCAAAACAAGCAGAGCAGCCTCCAACAGCTGTCCTATAGACACAGGACCTCAGCACTCACAGCGGTGAAAACTCCTACCGGTGGCCCCAAGAGCTGATCCACTGATCCCCAAGTGGGGGGACTTTTTTAAATTTATGCTACCAATTAGAAATAAGCAGGACAGGGTAAAAAGCTCAGAAATATTTCCTAATAAGTTACCAAAGCAACAGACAGGCTCAGCTGAAGTTTTCCTAACTTCAGGCTCCACAGTTATCAGCAATTCTGTTTGCCCAGGAAAGCACACTGACCTCTGTGTGAGAGGCCTTCAACAACGGGTTTACGGTTTGTTTAAATTACCTAACTGACTGGTAGAAAAATGGAGCTGCCATTTTTATCTATGTCAAATAAGATTTGAATTAGCCACAGGTAACAGCTTTTAAGATTCTGAGGCAAACAATCATATAGAACAAGCTTAACCCAAAATTGTTTCCAAGCCCTAACCCAGGTTGCTCTTACTAAAACTGAGTTTTGTAACCTACAGAGCAATATCAAAGTGAAAGTACACCATTAATCAATTACACTTCATTATGAAACCTGAATCTCTTAATTAGGTATTAACTTCCTTTAGTGTTTCCTTCTTATCTATTTCAAATATATTAGAAAAACTAAACAGTCTTCACATACACAATCCTATAATTAATGACTTTGATTTTAGTTTTGTTAGTTCAGTGTACACTCAGAAAACATACACAGTAATAATTCACAAAAAAAACAAAATTTCCATCTGCTCCAAAACTACTAACTTCATACAAATTTTATATAAAACAATTCAAGAAACCCGTTTCAACAAAATGTAATTTTAAATAAAAACAATGTATGTCAAAGGCCAATAATCTAATCTTAAGGCTTAAAAAGTTTATGAGATATAATCAAAGTACATAATATATATGGATGAAAATGTCATAATAAAACCATTACTCTGTATATGGTACTGAAGTCTTTAAAAAATTAATTCAGTGATGTCACAAGCATCATCCCACTAACTTTCCCCAGCCTTTACTTTTAGAACCTGCCCATGAAAAAGGGCGAAGACAGTGAAACGTGTTTAAATCAAGCGCAAGAGAAAAATTCCTCATAGCTTTACTTTTTTTTTTTTTAAGAAAGCAAAACAAAGACACTATTCATGCTCCCCTTGTGGGATGCTTACATGCACATCTCTGTCACAGCTAAGCAGAGCCTAAGAGCTAGGAGGCGCCATCATTTCCCACAACAAATAAAATAAAGCTTACCTTTGTGTGTGGCTCCTGTCTCTTATCAGGCAGAAGCTGGAAATCTGGGGAATCATCTCCATAACTTTCTTGGTTGGCTCGGAAATATTGCTTTTAAAATCTGATTGGGCCTCCTTCTGCTGCAATAGCTCCTGTTTGGCATATTCTTTGAGCCTTTTGTAAAGGCTGCGAAGGCCCTGCGCTGTGCGAGGAGGGCGGTCTACTCCAATTGCATTATAGTTAACTGCTATGACATCCCAACATCTATTCTTCTCCACTATTACTGAATTTTTATTAGTATGCTCTTCGAGAATTTTCACGTATGGCTTCACGAGGCTTAGCAGATCAAGCTTTTCAGATAGGGTAAAATTGGAAGATCGAGCCTTCCCTACCATTGTTCTTTTGAAATTAAGTAGGCAGCTTCTGAATCCACCATGCAGTCTTCAGCTCTGCTCAGCTCTTTTCACAAACAGAAAGATCAGGCTTAACTAGGCTAGCCCCATTTAGGCCCACGCCTACAGGGGAGGGCTTATTAAAATTCCTCCAGCTTAAGCTGACGCAGGTTTGGGAAAGCTGCTTAAGCCAAGCCTGACCTACATAAAGCTTCTCACAGAAGGCAGGGAAGCACAAGCAAAACACTTGTGTGTGGAGAGAGCGGCTCCAGACAGGATTTAATGCACAAAGGTCTAGAGATAAGCACGGAACACAGCTTGAAATTGGCTAATTTAGTGAGAATATCAAATTTCCACACATGTATGCCTGGCTGACAGGCTGAAACAGCCCTGCACCTCCACTTTAATAAGACAAAAGAGGAACTGTTTTTGCTGTTTGTTTACAGATCTAGTAGACCGAAAACTAGGAGACACGGGGTGAATGTAGTTTTCCTGACAGAGCTCTCAGCACTGTTTCTAGCTGGGTGTTCTCCCTAACCAAATCTGCACACTGCTGGTCCTGCTGTCAATCAGGAATTGCATATCCTCTAGCTAGTTAGGTTACACCAGCTCAGACTGCAGTAAAGCTAAGCTTCCTCTTCATTGCAGTGTACAGCATCCCCTGCATCATTTGTCATTCTTGGAGAAATTTTTATTGAATAGTAGATATAAAAACCAGATAAAAATATGCCTTATTATTCTACCTGCAATGTATATAAATACACTGGTCTGTTTTATCATACGTAAAAATTAACAGTGAGAAACAGCATAATTATGTCTTAGATGGGAGTGCACAAACAAAATCTTATTTTTATTAAAGCAAGATTTTCTGTTTATCTTAGTCACACAACTTGGACTATGAAAAGAAACCATCTGGCCAGTAGTTTTCATGCTTAATCCTAGTTTAAAGCAGATGACAGTCACAAAAACAAAACAGGCTTATTTGCTCCTGATATATTTGTCCAGATAGAGGAATTACTAGAAGCATGCATAAAAGACTCGTGGTGTAGCTCAGTGCTACAGCAAGTGTTTAATCCTTAGCACCTCAAAACAAAAGAAACAAGTAAACGAAACCAAACGTGAACATATTTGATCCAGTCAAAGGCTGGCAAGAGAGTTCATATGGTGAAGGCTGGTGGCCTGAATTTGATCCCGGAAACCCATGTGGTGGAAGGAGGGAATCAACTCACAAAGTCATACGCACAATACATACATACAGACACACATATGTACACACATATGTATTTTTGTGTGTATGTATGTATGTATGTTGAGGAAGTAGGGCCAGTTCTATAAAACAATTACCATCGTACACAAATGTCTCAGCTGCAGTACACAGAAATGCTACAAAGAGGCCTCCTGCTGCACACGGCCTTACGACTGTTAGACACTGTACTCCTGATCTACAGTCCAGCCCCCAAAGTGACCTTGTTGAACCAAGAAGCAAATACTAAATTCTCGCTTTTTTTTTAGCTGTTTGTTATTGATTTGAGACAAGGTCTCCCTATGCAGTTCAAACTCCCAATGTAGCCTAGGCCAGCCTCCAACTCACGATTCTCCTGAGTGCTAGACAAGAAACGTGTACAAACAAGCCCAATGAGCCTAGCAACATACAACACGCTTTAACTGTATTAGCTACCCAAAAGTAGGAAAGGAGGAAAGGGGTAAAAGCTGAGGGTAACGGCTTATACTCCCAGGAGGACAGCACAGCCCAAGGTCAGATAGTCTATGTGTAACAACACCTGAGAAGAAGAAAAATGGGCTGATGAAACGGTTCAAGCAATAAAGTTCTTGTCATTGAAAGCATGAAAACCAGAGTTTAGTTCCCCATCACCCATACACATATCTTTAATCCCAGGCAGATAGGTAGATCTCTACGAGTTCGAGGTCAGCCTGGTCTACAGAACTAGCACCAGGTTAGCTAGAACTACACAGAGAAACCCTGTCTTGACAGAGGAAAGAAAAGAAGAAGAGGAGGAGGAGAAGGAGGAGGAGGAGAAGGAGGAGAAAAGAAAAGAAAAGAAGAAACAAGCAAAGCAAGTTGGATATGTCTGGCAACCTACCTGCAATCCCTAAATTTAGAAAGCAAAAACAGGGAATCCCCAAGGTAAACTGGCGAGCTAGAGGAGCCCAATCTAAGAACTCCATTAAATAAAGTCAGAGTGCTGGAGGACAGGACACCAACTGTAGCCTGCACACACATCCACCCACACATGTGCCCCCCCATACACGCATTCACCCACACAGGTGCCCCCACACATGCATCCACCCGCACAGGTGCTCACACACACACACACACACACACACACACACACACACCCCGCACACAGGTGCCACACACACACACCTGCACATGCATCCACCCACACAGGTGCCCCCCCCACACACACACATGCACCACATGCACACACAACATAAACATGCAAAATAAAGAAAAGGGGTATATTTCTCTATATTAACACAGAACAATATTACAGGGTATACTTATAGACAAAATGACATACTCTCTAATCCCTATTGTGTTGATATCTGGGCTTCAGTCCCCCTTCATCTGCTAAGCACTATGAATTAAAAAGCAGCCCCAGAACAGAACTCCTTATCTCAGCAGTAAGCACAGCCACTTCTCTGATATTCTCCATCCGTTAGACAGGCTAAAAGGCAGCACTATTTCTTCCTATGCTCACTGTCTGCTCACTGTTGGGATCAGAACTGAAACCATTTTGTGTGACCTGGAATAATGTAGGCAGGAGCCAGCCACAGGCAGCTAAGAAGTGAACCAATCCCAAAGCAGGCTTTGATATGCTAATAAGCTAGTCAGAAGGTGGCACTGGTAAGCTAATGAGCCAGTCCTTAGCTGTGAACCCCGACTGCACAAAAATAATGCCCAATTAGTTGGACGATGCAAAAAAAAAAAAAGGAAATTATGAGGTGACTCTCCAATGCACTATTGTGCTCCTGGGAAGACACCCATTTGCAAGGGGCTTTGACACTGGCCACTATGTAACTGACTTCAGGAGGCTGAGGCAGGAAGATTACAGCAAATCCAAGACCAGTCTGTGATATAAGTAAAATGCTGACCAAAAAGGTTGCAACCCAGCTATGGTCTCTATATTATGTAAATGCTTTTTCAGGCTGTGTCCCCTGCAGGGCTCCACTTTACAAGCAGCTTTTGACTCAGTCTTGAAGGTGTAACAAACCAACGCCATTTCCCCCAGACCCTTATCTTCAGCCCGCTCTCTGTTAATCTACAGAACCTGTCTTTATGGAAGATGCCACTGTACTGCACACAGAGTTTCGAGGTAGACATGTGCTCGAGCCCCCCAAAAAATAAACAAATAAAGTAAAGACTCATACAAAAGACAAGAGAATAGAACAAAATAGAGGTGGTGTTGGGTTTGGTGGCACACACTACAGCCTTAGCAGACAGAGGTGAATTAGGACCTGCCCAGGCCACATACTGAGATCTTGTCTCTAATTTTTAAAAAGAAAAACCAAAGCTGGAAGTGATGGTACACACCTGTAATCAAGCCCCTTGGGGGGCTGGGACAGGGAGAGCACAAGCTTGAGACCGCATGCAAAGAAAATTCAATCCAAGCACTGGGGGACAGGAATGTTAAACACACAGGGTTGTCTCTTCAAAGCGAGAGATGTTTTCCAGCCAGGAGAATGGGGAGTAAAGGTAGTTAACAGCCCGGTGACCTTTGTGCTGAGACCACACCAGACCCTTCCCCCAATTCCTTATCTTGAGCCTGTTTGTCTCTGTCAATCTATAACGCTACCTTCCCCAGACCCTGATCTTCAGCCTGCTTTCTCGGTCACTACAGAACCTGTCTTTATGGAAGATGTCACTGTACTGCACACAGAGTTTCCATGTAGCCAAGTCATAAGGTTTGTTATGTACATGGGGTTGAGCTAATTATCACAAGGACACTTTTTTCTAAACTGTGCTGTGTTTACATGTGCCTAAGATAAACTCAGAGTTTGGATCAACACTGGCTAGGACGTGCCGACTCCGCGGCTTCTTATCTTCCACAGACCGACACTCTGGGGCTTCGGTGGTCAGAGACCCTGGCAAATTATAATTTTATTTCCCCACACCGGGCCTGGAAAAAGTAGATTCAAAGTAAGTGAATAAGTCCAAAGTACATGCCAAAGAAAAAAGTTTTCTTGAAAGACCACTTGAAGAACATGTCTTACAAAGTTTACAAAGCCTTCTATGAAGAACAGCAAGGATTAGGAAACTGTGACCATACCCACAGGAGATGGGGAAAGAGGAACTTAAAGATACTCTACACAAGACTCTACTGTTTTGACCACTGTTGAGGCAGCATACATTACTGAGAGTTAAAAAAATAAATAATCCAGATTAGGGATGTGACTCAGTAGTAGAACAGGTGCCTAAAATGTAGGTGGCCCTGGGATTTGAGGCACAGTTCTACTAAAGAATGACCAAACTTTTAAAAGGCCAAAACACCTAAACAGACATTTTTTTTCCTAAAAAAAAATTTTAAATGTCAAAGAGGTTCAACATCATTAACCATCAAAGAAATGTAGCTAAAACCACTGAGGTCAAGCATGACCGCCCAGCCTGTGATGCTAGCATGAGAGGCAGAGGCGAGAGAACCAGTTACACAGGAAGTTTGAGGCCAGCCTGGCCTCTGTGAGAGGCCGTTTCAAAGAAACAAAACAAATTATGTAGGCTGAATTAATCTAAAGAATTAATCTACAATATAAGAAGTAGTTAACAAAACTACTGTATTAGGGATTTTGGCATAAAAATTAACTGAGAAGATGAATATGTTAATTTGCTCCACTGCAGTAACCATTTTACTGTCTCTAAGTATCCTATGGCATTATATGGCAAGGTTTATGCCCACAATTAAGTTTTTTAATTTTTTATTTTATTTTATGTAACTGTGTATACACATGAGTATGTGGGGGTCAGAGTGTTATGCCGGATTATGTTAGGATTCAGGCATTATGCTGGCCTGTCCCGTCACGGGGCAGGATGCACTTACCCTGGCCAGCCCAGGCTCCTATGGCTGTTACCTTACTACACAGTCTGTGCAGCACTATGTTGTCTATGCCAATGCACTATGGCCCCTTTAAGAGACAAGCTCCGCCCACTTCTGCTCTCTGCACCACCTGCCTCCCCCACTTCTCTCTCTCTCTCTCTCTCTCTCTCTCTCCCAAGAGGCCACTCTGAGCTTCCCTTCTCTCCCTTTGTTCCCTCTTCCTTCCCCCTCCCCATTAACTCTTAATATGAGCAAGGTCTGTCTGTCACCCACCATCCCACCAGAACTCCTGGGACCTGCCAAGGTACCTCTATACTTTTAAATTGTGCCTTGGGCAGAGAGCATGTCTCAGTGACAAAATGCTTTCCTAGCATGGACAAGGACCTGGGTTTTGTCCCAAGCACTAGAGGCTGGGGAGGATACTCACACACATCTCTAGGAGCCATGAGAATTAAGAACTACAGATTAATTCGGATGTCATCTGACTACTGCCTCTCTCCATGCAAGCCTCATATAAATAAGGTTCTATACATAACAGAGAATTTGATGTTCCAGTCTCTGGAGGAATCCTGGGTAATGTGAGCTGGGAGAAGCCACTGTCTGAATAATCACAGCCCTTTTCTCAACCAGACTGATTCCAGAACAAGCTTAACAAATACATTTGTTTCCATCCACAGCTGAAATTCCAAGTCTCCACACACAAGTCTCTTTAAAAGCTTCTTTATCCATACAACTAAAAGCAAATTAGTTCACGGAGAATTATCTTCAATGGTGTCTTTACAATAGATGTATTTTATTTCCCCCTCTGACTGAAGAAAGTAACTCAACACTTCCAAAATAATGAAAACTATTCAATAATTCACCAACCTAAATCTTTATAAAAGGGTCTTAAAAGCAAAGGATGACCTCCTTAGTTCTTAATTTTCTTACTTTCTTCTCTTTTTTGTTTTTTTATTTAAATTTTCAAGCAGGTTCCTCTGTGTAGCCCTGGCTCTCCTGGAATTCACTTTGTGGACCAGACTGGATTTGAAATCACAGAGAGATTCACTTGCCTCTGACTCCCAAGTACTAAGATTAAAGGCATGCACCACCACCACCCAGCTTAGTTCTTAATTTTCTCAGAAATTTTCTATAGGGAAAAGATATAATAAATGGAATAATTAATATCTGAGTCATAATTTTGTTTAAAGTTGTTATAGAAGGGAAAAAGTCACAATAAGAGAAATATTCCTCAATCAACTCTTGACAAACTATACACAATTAAGTCTGATCTAATGTCCTTTGAAGTTTATCTAAAAATCAAAATCCCTTTGAAGCAACTGGGAATGCAGCTCTGTTGTAAAGCATATGCCTACCATGTGTGAGTCCATATGAGTTCCTGGGTCCAATTCCCAGCATAGAAGGAGGAGGGAAAGGAGAAGAAGGGAAGTGGAAGAAGGGGAAGTGGAAAGGAAGGAAAGGAAGATAGATGATAGATAGATGATAGATAGATGACAGATAGATAGATAGAGAGAGAGAGAGAGAGAGATAGATAGATAGATAGATAGATAAAGTACACCGCGCTCAAGCACACTTGCAGCCCCAAATCCACAGTCTGTAATATCTCTAAAGGTGGAGAGGTGGCTCAGTGGGTAATAGTATGCTCTACTCTCACAGAGGATCCCAGTGTGGTTTCCAGGACCCTGATCAGCAGCTCACAACCGCCTGGAACAGCTCAAGGGGATCTAAAGCCTCTTCCACAGGTACCTTGCACTCACATGCACATGCCCACAGAGTGTCACAACATACACATAATTAAAAATAATAATGCTAAAAATATGAGTCAGCAGTTAAGAGCACTGGCTGCTCTTCCAAAGGTCCTGGGTTCTATTCCCAGCACCAATATGGCAACTC